AGGACACGTCCATCATGAGACAGCAGGACAGAAGGACACATCCATCATGAGACAGAAGGACACGTCCATCATGAGAGACAGCAGGACAGAAGGACACACCCAGAGGACAGGAGGACACATCCATCATGAGACAGAAGGACACATCCGTCATGAGAGACAGAATGACATGTCCATCATGAGACAGGACACGTCCATCATGAGAGACAGCAGGACAGAAGGACACATCCAGAGGACAGGAGGAGCAGACAGAGCCACGGCTGCTGCTGCATCTTTTTGACAAACGTCATATTTTATCATATTTTGACCAAAAAAAAAGTTTTATTGAAGTAAGACGTTTCCACAAAGTCAAGATTTTATTTTAAATTTAGATCATTATTAAAGTGTAAAGATTAATCCTCAATATGAAAAATATCTGAAAAATCTCAGTGTATAGTTGCAGTGGGATGATTTATTTTAATATGAAAGATTCAGACAATAAATAAACTTTATCTGAAATTAATGCGTCAAAATATATTTAACAAGAAGAAAAGCTGAGCAGTTTTTGGAGGGAACAAAGTTAATGTTTAAAAACATTTATTTAAAAAAAGATTATTTAAAACATAATGATAAGTTGTTTTAAATGTGTAAAAGTATGTTGGTATTTATTAGTATGAAGGTTTGAATTTATTTTATTTTATTTTTTCAGTGTGAAGAATTTTGGAAAGTCAAGACATTTTTTATCAGAAAACCCAAGAAAATTAAAAACAAGAAAATTAAAAAAGAAAAAACAAGTTCAAATTCAGGAAGAACAAAAAAAATTAGTTTTTTGGGCCAATAAACTTTTTATATACTAAAATACGCAAACGGGCCACTAAATTAATGAAACATAATCTAATTGATATTTATTAATAATTATAATAATAAAAAATAAAAAATATATAATTTATTTATTTAATAAAAAAATTAATAAACTGCTTTTTGAACATGAAAAACTTCAGAAAAATAAGATAATTTTAATTAAATATTTAATTAGAGGCTTTACTGACAACTGAAAATGTTTATAGCTGAAAGACATAACTTTTAAAATTATTCTACAATTAATATCATTAGGTCCCAAAAGGGTCTCTCTCACCAAAATGTAAATAAATAGAATAAATAAATATTTTATTGACTTTCACTGCATAAGACCTTTATACCAGTTTCAGACATAACCACATACATAAATGTATTTATTTATTTGTTGTGCGTTTCCTGCTCCTTTAGTCCAAAGAACCTCTGATTTCCTGAGCGGGGAAAAATTCAAAATGTGCAATTTTTCTAAAACATAAGATGCAAAGTGAAATTCTTGGCATTAGGTAATTAAACAAAAACTAATAAGAATAATTTTGATGTAATATTTTTGGAGCAATGAGACATTTTTCCATAAACTTTCACTAAATACTATCCTTACTGGGTTGAGGGGTCCTGAGTTGAAAGTATTCCAATAAAACAAAAAGTACAAACAGGTTTTACTGGTTTAAAAGAAGTCCGTGACCTTCAGGCCCAGTGAGGTCAAGTCCTCAGGGACACTCAGATTTAACTTTGACAGAAACGACAGTAAATGCATAAATTAATACTTTCTGAGGTTCGTGTTTAAACAACACAACTGAAGTTAGGAATATAAACGTTGTGCTAACAATGGGAACAGGTTTCACAGATTAAACTTGTGGGAAAAGCCCCGGATGACTCTGATGATGACGACGATGATGATGTACCTCCGTATGGCGACAGTCAGAGCCTCCGTGGAGCTGGCGCAGGGACAGATCACCTCCGGCTTCAAACCTTTAGTCTGGAAGACGTTGAGGAACGCGTCGCAGGACGAGATTGACCCTGAGAGTCGGACAGATTGAAACATGATCAGCCGTAATTCAGATTAACTTCTAACAAAGTAAAGTTCTACAAGAAGCAGAAGATGAACCTTCATGTTTCTGTTTGAAACCGAAGTGGACCACCATGCCAGCCTACAGCAAAGATCTGAACTTTACATGCTCAGAGGTCAGGACTTCTTTTACAAGCTAAACAAAGTAATTAAAACGAAGAACAGGTGCGGTTTCCTGCACAGGTCAGAGACGACCTCCAGTTTTTACCCACAAATCACCAGCTGTCCACAGCTCATCCTGTGAAGACAACCTCCATCTTTTTCTTCTTTCAGCTGCTCCTTCTTCAGAGGTCGCCACAGCGAACTAAGTCGCACAAACTCTGCAATTATTTTTACGCCGGATGTGACACAACCACAGACCAACGAGCTACCACAGCCCTCTGTGTGGAGCAGATGGTGGGGCCCTGAACAGAGCCTTGCTCAAGGGCCCAGAGTGGGGCAAATGAAGGTGGAGGCAGGTGCGAATGTTTCACCTGTCCCGCCCACATTTTGGTGGTCCGGGGTTTGAACCGGCGACCTTCTGATCACAGGCTCGCCTTCTTTAACCTCTGCTCCACCCTCCCTCCGTAAAGACAACCTCCATCAGAAAAATGCAAAGTTTTACAAGGTAAAAATAAAAGTAACGTAAAGAAACCAGATCCAGGGTTGTTACACATTTCAAAACTCCAGATGTTTTCATATTTCCAGATGTTTTTAAATCTGAATTTTCAGGTGGATTTTTAACATCTTAAAACAAATAATTAATATAAATGCATATTAAAGGCTGATCAAAGGCAGGAAATGGCATTATACTAAAAAAAGTTTGAATAAACATGTACTCCTATTGAGTTTATGGTCCTAAATTTTTGTTTAATACAGCATAATATTATTTTTTTAATATAAAACCATATTTTAAGTTAAACAGAAAATCTATTGGGGGCAACATGTGACAAATATTCAGCATTAATTTAGCATATTTTAGAAAGATTTATAAAGTGAACTTTTACGGATTATTACCAGTAATGTGAAACTGAGCAGTTTATTTTTTAGAATTAAAATATTTATTTAAAAAAAAAAAAGGTCTGGAAACATTTTTTCCCACTAAGATTACTGAACATAATTCTATAATTTTCCTGTGTGGGAACTCTGCAGACCCGTGGTCAAACAGGAAGTTTGCTGCATGGCTCTGCAGGTGAATGCACGACGTCACATACTCAGGAAACATCTGGATAACCCACAATAATAAGTTCAATTATAAAAAGTCTAATTTAGGTTTTCTTCTTTCATCTCTTGTGCTTTTTGACCACATCTTAAACCAGTAAACAGCAAGGCTTTCCTTACATGGATTGGAACCGTCAGCCACCACCAGCATGCGCAGGGAGCTCAGGTTGACGTCCCGCTGGTCCCGATGGGCCACCAGAGCCCAGTGCATGTCCCTGGACTTGACACAGGCCACCCTCGCTGCAGACGACACATCACACACAAAAACCTCCTGAAAAAACTGCAGCGATTCAACAGAGCCCAGAGAAATATTACTACTTGAAAACAAAGTAACGTTTTTTTTGCTTTAATGTGGTTAAACTTGTACTCTTAAGTTTCTGTTTGTTTCATGGTTTGACGCTCTATACCAGGGTTATTCAACTGGCGGCTCAGGGGCCAAAACAGGCCCACGGATGAACTCCGTTCGGCCCACCAATGGGTTCATTTGTAAATAAAACTAGAGTTTAAACCATAAAACAAACTTAATGACAATAACTGCTGGATGTCCAGCCCCTGAGATCTTGGCTTTCAGTAACTGAGGACCCCTGAGCAGTTTAGTTGAAAAGCCCTGCTCTATACCGAGCCTGGGTCGGGCCAAAATGATGTGCTTGATGGGCCGGCTGGGTCGGTCTGGGGCTTTGGATGCAGTTTTGCGAGTCATACAGCACAAAGAAAACTAAATAAGAATGCACAATATAAATTGTGTTAATCTACTTGTTAAGAAGGAGGTAGGTCCGACCGGCCGGTTGAAAGAGGTAAAAACAAGTCTTTAGCTTTTTGATGGATCAGCTGATCACCGGCCGCGTGCGTCTCCGCACCCTGCTGTCATCTGATGCTACAGAAGCCGAAGCGAGCAGCGCGTTCAATTAAAATAGCCTTGTTCTATATTTTTCCAAATAATGTTGCTCTAAAAAAGAATCTTTACAGTTGAGTTTTTGGGCCATTCGTTTTGTTAATATCCATGTTAATAAACAAGAAATCCTATATCTTCCTTTTTTTTATATGTTTTTAAAATATATCAAACTGATTTGCTTACAAAAACAGTAAAAGCTTAATTTATTTTATTTTTTTCTGGGTTCGGGTCTGTAATTACAGTTAAAGGATCAGGTCGGATTTTTTAGGCCCGAATTCAACTCTTATGTAAAGTTGGACTTAGGTTGAATTGCCATTTTTATTTTTATTACAGCTTTGACATAAATACAGTTTATTTGTACAATTTCTACCAAATGATTCTGCTGCAAAAAGTTCCAAGAAATCTTGTGTTTTGGTGAAATATTTCATAAAATGAAGTTGGTGTACGCTGCATTTTTAAAGGTTTTAAAGCACAAGTTGAATGGAAAACTTTCTAAATGTCCTAATGAGATTTTTAGTTATACTGATTTTATTTTGAAACAAGCTGAAGGTGGTGGTACCTTTATACTGGCAGACCTTCTGGATCCAGGACAGAGGGTTCACCTTCATCAGGGCGTAGGGGATGCTGATGACGTGCATCATGTTCATCACGCTCTGAAGGACAGGAGGACAAATATTTACAGAACTACTTTTCTTTCTTCAGTACTAAACACTGAATACATGCAGGGCTTTTCTTACGGTCAGGATGGCGTGCCACAGCCCCACATCCTTCTTGAAGTCTAAAACATTCACTATGGTCTCAGCTGCAAACAGAAACAGAGATTTTTTTAATTCAACCTTTATTTCTACAGGTTAGTCTCATTGAGTCACGAGGACTCATTTTAAAGAGAGACCTGTTTTAAACAAAGAACACAGATGAGGTACAGACAATAAACAGCCATGAAATGCTTTTAAAATGAAAAGTAAATAAAAGTAGTGGTATAAAACAAAATAAAAACAAGCTAGATTATGAAACGAGGTAAAATACTAAAAACAGGAACATGTCTGCGTTGATTTTTACATTAAACTTAATAGTTTAAAATCCCTTAGAGAGGTCAAGGTCGACAATTACAGATCTTTTTGTAAAATATTCCAGGAAACGGGAGCGGAATAAGAGAACGGCCTTTTCGCCGAGCTCAGTACACACTGAGGGGACGCTGCAGGTAATAATGTCCTGAGCGCGCACGCTGTAGCTGCACTCACACAGAGACATGTAGGAGGAGATGTATGAAGGCAGCAGACCAAGAAGTGATTTAAAGATGAAAATGTACCAGTGAGAGGGTCTGCGTAAAGTTAATGATACCGTACCAATTTATTTCTAAAGCACTTAAAATACAACAAGCAGCCGTCCGAAGTGCTGTACAAAATTAAAAACAAACAAAAAACAGTAAAACAATAAAAACACCTAAATATATATATAAAAAAATAATCAGAACATCACAAGTAAAAGAATACAACATTAGGACACAGATGCTGAGTCGCTCTAGGTGAAAAATGTGAAAAAAAAAAGTCTTTTTAAACGAACAAAAAAGGTTGAATCATGTCATCTGGACTTCGTTTTTTTTGTTAAAAAGAAACGTTTCGCCCCTCATCCAAGAGGCTTCGTCAGTCTGAGGCCTAGACATGATTCAACCTTTTTTGTTGTTATATACCTGGATGACTGAGAAAACAAACTTTGTGTTTTTGAAACCATTAGTGAAAAGGCCAGACTTCAGGGGTATCTGAGGCAGGCTTGAAACACAAGAGTCAGGGTGGCTTCTGGGTAATACCAGATGGCTAGGCCTCAGACTGACGAAGCCTCTTGGATGAGGGGCGAAACGTTTCTTTTTAACAAAAAAAACGAAGTCCAGATGACATGATTCAACCTTTTTTGTTGTTATATACCTGGATGACTGAGAAAACAAACTTTGTGTCTTTTTAAACGAGTTTTAAAAACAGAAAGTGACGGGGCCTGCCCGACCTCCAGCGGCAGCTCATTCCACAATTTAGGAGCCAGAGCTGAAAACGCTCCGTCTCCTCTGGATTTATAAAAGGTTTTCAGGACTGCTAAAAGCATCTGGGCAGAGGATCTAAGAGCATGTGATGGTATGTAAAAGTGAAGCAGTTCAGACTAAGACCGTTCAAAAACTTAAAAACAAACAATAGAACTTTAAAATGAATTCAAAACTGGACAGGAAGCCAGTGAAGGGACATCGCCTGCCTGTACCAGTCAAAAATGGTGCAGCAGCATTTTGTACCAGCTGTAACCGTGAGAGCGAGGCCTTTCAACAGAGAGTTACAATAATCCAGGCGTGAAGCAATAAAAGCGTGGATTACCGGTGTCTAGAAAGGAGGGGCTTGATTTTTGACAGGTGCCTCAGCTGAAAGAAAGAGGACTTAACCACGTTGCTGACATGGCAGTCAAGTGATGATGACCAGTTAACCAGTGAATACTGGGTGCAGTGGTGGGTACGGTAGTTACAGCCAGTTATGAATCTTAATGGACCGTGGTAGACAGCATCCAACATCTGCAGGGTTAGGGTAGTCTTAGCAACTGTTTTAGCTCAACAATAAACAACTGTATCGTCGACATAGAGATGCAAAGTTGCATCAGGAAAGTTTTGACCTACATTCCTTATGTAGATTGTAAAGAGAGTGGGTCCTAAGAGTGAGCCTTGTGGTACACCATTATTGACAGTTAAATAACTGGAAGAAGTAATTGGAGATGTAAAGAGAAACAGCGTTGGAATCATCCAAAGCCCCGTTTTACACATGGAAGGAAAAAAGGAGAAAATACTGTGAAGTCTGCAAAAAAACACACACACGGTAACTTCATTTGAGTCATGATATGGACCTCAGCCTTGGACACCCGCCCTCTACCTGCTCAACAGGTGTGTGCTCACCTTCTGTGTACGAGCAGGACTGTGTGAGGGCCTGGCAGTGCGTGAGCATCGCAACCCTCGTCACCGTCACACCCAGGACACCGCCGTCTTTACACGTCTTGTACTGAGGACAATTAATGCGATGCAACAAAATAAATAAATACAGTTCGCTTCGGCTGCTGTTTAAAAAAAAAAATCACAATTTACAAATGTTCAAAGTTAAAAAACTTAGTGCTGCACTTCTAAAAGTCCTCAGTTCTGTTCTAAAATGTTCAAAAATAAAAAACGAAGTTAAACCTTCGAGTGAAACAGGGCACAGTTAACTGCACATGCTCAATAATAATAATATATTTTTACTATTTATTAAACTTTAATTAGTATTAGAAATGGTTTAGATACAACAGATGCTTCAATAAAATATAAAATGCAACAAAAATCTGTGTTTGTAAATACATAAAACCATTTTCTAATTCAAATCTTTGACGATTTATTAGATCTGATGGTTTTTAACTTTACATTTAATATTCCATTTATTTATGCTTTGGATTGCTTCTATTTATTTCTGTTTATTAATTTAATTTGCCCTTACTCATTGATTTTCTTGAGAAATTAAAAACTACATAATGAAAAAAAAAAATCACCTGAAATAAATAGAAGTTTGTCTTTGAAACGAGTTAAAACAAACAACACTACATAATTTATGTTTTACTTCGTCTGGATGTATTTAACTGGTAAAATAATCCATTGGAAATTTAATTTGTTTAATTACATTACACATACTTTTTTATTACAAATGTAATTATTTAATGCAGAAACCGTTGTGCACATGGTTCTAAAACGAGCCGTCTTTGCATCAGAGGTAAATGTTTCCTGCCGCTGTGCCGCTACAAGGAAACGACATCATCCTCAGACTTTAAACGCTAAGTGACAATAAATGTCTTAGGGATAAAAATTTAAAATATCTGTTGGGTCCCAGTAATCCATCAGAATCCTTCCAAATTAAAATCTGTCTGACAGATCCCGCTGACCTCTATGATGAGCTGCTATTAAAGATATGTCTTCAAAATCTTTTAAAATTAAAATAAATAATAATAAAAACCAAGTGTTTATTTGTCTCAACTGTCAGAGATGTTGTCGCTCTCGTTAAAATACATATTTTTCTTTCAATCATCCTTTAATCATTTTAGTCTTTTTCAATTCAAATGCAATCAAGAAGATTTTTTCTCTCCACTGTTTCACGTGATGTCCAGCTGCTAAAAAAGACGTCGCTTCAAATCCAATCAATCCGTCGGCTGATAACGGCTCCGACCACATCCTGCCTGACCCTCGTGCTTCTAATCCAAACATGTCGCTGCATCGATTTCACGACTGAAACTGGACTAAAGGACCAGTTCTGGTGCTTCCAAGCGCGTCACCTCGATGTAGGCCGTGTCCTGGTTGGCGTCCTTGATTTGTGGGAACCAGTCTTTGGGAGGTTTGGAGAGGTGTTTGGACTCTGTGACGAACCACAGCACCTTGGGCCAACCTGGACACCAAAAACAAAGACACTTTAAAGATAAAACTTAATAACCCAACATTCCTTGAAGGAATGCATATCGCCTAAGTTTTAAACCAAAATCATCTTATATTTGATTTTGGTCAACCTGAAACACTTATATTTTTTCATTCAACCTTTATTTACACAGATAAATCACATTGAGCCTCGAAGACTCATTTAAATGTGAGACCTGTTTGGACAGACAAAAAGTAATGAAAGTGACAACATGTAAAGGATTTGGAGGCAAAATTAAATTCCTAAAAGACTCTTGTTCCTTGGCCGAAGAAAGATAGCCTGAAATTTAAAAAACACCCGGCACATAAGCACTTCGTGACGCAGACACTCCACAGGGGAGTGGGAGACGACAACTCTCATATATCTTGTGAGATATAATAGCACTCAAAATATGTGCTGGAGATCAGTCTCAGCTACTACCACTCTGAGTTTTAGCTGTAAAACTGACTGTTACAGACGTTTTTGTGTTTGCCAACGTCATCTAGCTGTGGTAGCCATATTGACTTGTGGTGACTTCAACAGTTAAACAGTTGTAAAAATACAAACGATGATTTCCTGAGAGTTTCATTTGAATCCATGACATAGTTCAGAAGATATTTTGCTAACAGTAAGTGTTGTCTCTCACCAGTAGATGCTAATGTTGAAGTTTTAAGTGAAGATGTTGCACAATGTGCGATGCTCAGAGTGTGTGGCCTGAACGACTCTCGGCTACTACCACACCAACTTTCAGCTCCAATCAGTAAAAACAACAGAGTTGTAACTGTTCTTGGGGTTCCTATGGTCAGCTGGCTGTGACGGCCATCTTGAATTGGGTTGATCCCAAAAGACAGCAAACTGTATTTGCATTTACAATGTTATTTTTCCTAACAGTTGGAATAAAATCCATCTTAGTTGATGATATTTTGCTAACAGACAGTCAGGGTAGATGGAAACAGTTACTGGAAAAAAAATCCAAGCTGAAATATTGAGCTCAGGGTGCGTTTTGGGGATGAAGCTCAGCTGCTACCACACCCACCTGTAGCTCATTATCTGTATAACTGGTTGAGTTATAACAAAGGTCAGTTAGTTGTGGTGGCCATCTTGAATGTGGTTTACTCAAAAAGTTAATAGATGCTCATCCACTGATTACGTTCTGATAGTTTCATCAAGATCTGATATTTTGCTAATGCTACATGCATGATCAACAACTTCAGCGCCCTTTAGCAAAGTTGAAAGAGAGGACGTGAAGTCCTGAGTGGAGACGGTGTTTTGGGACAGATGAAACAATCAGCCGTGAGGATGAAACCAGCTTGATTACGAGATCAATACGAGAAGCACTCAGGTCTAACGAGCGGCGCACACAATCTCAAATCTACGCCGAGTGGGGAGCAAAGAGTCTGCCGCCATGTTGCTATTTTTAAACCCATTACTGCAAACAGTGGATATTTATCTCCTCCTCTCTACCACTTGTTTGTCCATCGATCTGTTTCTGCACTTCACCGACTCCTCTGCCTTCCTCCCCATCACTCCATCATCCCGTCATCTGTGTCAGAGTCCAGCTGTCTGCTGCCATCGCCGTTTCTTCGTTCCGCTGAGAAACGCTGGAAGAGTGCACGGTCCGGCTCCGACGTCTGACCTTTGACCCGAGTGTGTTTGTGACGGATCACTGGAGCTGTGAAACTCTGGAGTTCAGCTGGTTATTTTAGCAAGTCTCGATATTTCAGGGGTTTTACAAATTTAACATATGATTATTCGTTATAAGTCAGAAGACATTTTTATTTTCCCCGTTTCTAGTTTCTGCCGTAACGTTTTTTTGCAATCAAATATTTTCCAAATAGTTTGTGCTAATTTAACGCGTCGTGTGTCAGCTTGATCGAGAATGGAGTTCTGTGACTTTTAGTAGTTATACTTTTCAAAATATTTTATTTAAAATAAAATTACCTGTATAAAAACACTTTGTCTTCAAATCAACATTCTTCTTTTTGAAATCTGCTTCAGCGTACTCGCTGCATTTTTGTACTTTTATGTTACTTCTAACTTTCAGTTACCGATCTGCAAATTTTACCAGCCGTGCTGCCATTTTTAGTTAATAGCTTGTGTTTAGCTACATTTAGCCTTTACCTGCTACTTTTGACTTAGAAATATTTTTTTCTACTTACGCTTTAGTTCTTGCTGTTACTTTGAGCTTTTACCTAATATTTTGCTACTTTTAGCTTAATAGCTTCCATTTCATTTTTAGTCAGTTGATAGCGTTTGGCTACATTTAGCTTTTACCTACCATATTGCCACTTTTAACTGCTAGCAATAATTTTTCTACTGAAGCTTTAGTTCTTGCAGTTACTTTTAGCTTTTACCTAGCATTTAACTACCTTTAGCTCACAGTTACCATTTCATATTTAGTTAATTGCTAGTGTTTGGCTACTTGTAGCTTTTACCAACCATTTTGCTACCTTTAGCTTATAGCTACCATTTCATATTTTGTTA